TTCAATCTGGGATTTGGGGTTGTTTTACTCTCTTTCAACAGTAGACTTTTCGACCATTTTTACTTGTGCATAGCCCCCAGAAATTCTTGGATTTCTCGCAATATAGATTGAATGTCATAACTCTGATTTGTATTTTACTTCTTATTGGGAATGGTCCAATTGCTCGTTTCTAATCAATTTGTTGGGTACTAATTGAACTGCTCACTTCTTACTTTTTGGGGTCATTAATCGAAAAATAATGAATATTTGTATGTCATTTGTGATTTATGAAAAATCTAGAATGGTTGCTGATCTCCAGATGTCTTTTTCAAGCTATTGCCAGGATACTATTAGCTGAAACAGTAAATTAAATAGAGTCTGCCTTTTCACTTTTTAACATCTGGTCGAGGCTGTTAGTTTTTGTTTTGTGAAGCACTGTGATGCCTTTATTGATGGATTACTCGATGTTTCTACAGAATAAGGAATTAGGAGACCCATTACAAGTTTCGTGTTTGTTTTTTGGATATTTTGCTGACTCATTTATTATCTTATTTTTCAATTTTCACTGGGTTTTTGTTGACCAATACCGGATATTATGTACTTTGTACTCCACTTGTGTAGACAACAACTCATTTAAAGCATTAGTCAGAGCTCGAATCAATATATTAGACAAAATATGTTTTGTTCATGCTTATCTTCCTTTGCATTTAAAATCCACTTAGAAATTTTACAAATCAGGGATCTCTTTTGCAGAAATTCCGGCTAATTGACACTGCTGGAATCCGAAAAAGGGCAGCCATAGCTTCATCAGGCAGCACTACAGAGGCTTTGTCAGTGAATCGAGCATTTCGCGCCATTCGTCGTTCTGACGTTGTGGCTCTTGTGTCATTGAGGCCATGGCCTGTATAACAGAACAGGTACTTCCTCTGCTTTTCTGACTTGACTGAGTAGAGGAGTTGAGAGTTTGACCGGAGCAAGATGAGAGACAAACTGAATTATTGGGTCATGGGAGTTTGAGAGGCTGAGGTTGGGAAATGAATGATCTCGTTGAACCTTCACCTGCTTGTGCAACCTCCAAAGCTAAGCCTCGATTCAACTGTAGCCGTTTTGAAAGCCCATTAAATGAAAACTTTTGGTTGAATTCCTCACTGTATCTGCCATATCCACCTCATAAGATTGCAATTGATTTTGGGCTGTATTTGCTCAGAGTTGTATTCATTCTCTTCTTCCAAAATCTTGTGTTTTGGATTTATAGGTTATTCTCATCAGTCATCATTGTTTCATCTGCCCAAATGGTAGAATAACCCGGAATTTTGTGTATTCATACAGTTAATGGGGATCACCCTCAACGTTAGCTTATAAGCTCACTGGCCCAAAAATGTTTGTGTTTTCGTGTTTGTGTGTCTGCCGCATTTGGACATCTATGTTACGTCATTGTCCTTCTCCTTTCCTTACGGGTAAAACTACATTGAAGAACCCAAAGGGCAACCTACACAGTTGAAACTTTTGTTTGGAAGTTTTTTTTTTTTTTTTTTGAAGTTGGAGATTTCGTCATTTTGCATTTGCTTCTAACTCATTATCTCCCATATATTTCCAATATGAATCTTGAAAAAAAAAACCATTAGGTGTTCCTTAAAACATTAGTTAGCATAGATTGGACATCTATCCAAAGTGACAAGCCGTGGCAGCAGTTGATGTGTTTAAGACTTAAGAGGAGGCAAGAGTTCTAGTTTTTAGCATATTGATAAAAAGAGTGCAGAGAGAGCATGATGTGTAACAGGATGTTAATAGATTATTGAGAGTTCCATATAACTTGTTGACAAGGATTGAATTGTATTTTGGGCAAATTTGAAAATCAGATATGCAAGTTTTATCGGAAAAGAATAGATAAAACCAAGAATGTGGTAGGACCTATTGCAGTCAAAAACCTAAATGGAGAAAGTGTTGAAAAAAAGAAAGAGAAAAGGAGTGCACTGGTTGCATAAAAAGAAAAACAAACAGATAGAAGACTTTGAAAGCACAGATAAGAATATAGGACACGAGTACGAAACGATACGGATATGATGATAGGTCACAATTTTAAAATGTAAGATACGAATACGTCTAGGATATGTTTGTATATATATTATAGAGGATGTCATTTCAATACTAGGTGATGTAGATCATAGTAGCTCTAATACCAATTGATGGACACTAGGAAGTGGAAGAATTAGGGAATGAGAAATAGATAGATGAGAAGTGAAGAATAAGATGAGGAAAAAGGGGTTGAGAAAACAGAACGACTCTAGCGCAAACACAGCCTCATCAATCATATTCAATAACTCTAGTCTACAAAACAAGAAGTACACTTCCCTATATATAGGAGACAATAAGGCCCAATAACAAATACATAATGACAGCTAAGCCTCAAAAGTTAAAATTATCAAAAGATAAACCAAATGATCTCTGAATAACTCTCATAATAAATTTATAATATCTATCCTACTCCAACACGATTTTCATCATTCTCCTCTAATTAAGAAAAACTCTCATCCAAAGAGTCATCAAAGTAAAATTACTGCAAAAGACCTGACAATGGCAAAACTCCACTGCTATAATGGAAGAATCATCAACATGTTTCCACCTAGTTTAATAAAGGCAACAGTCTTCATATACACCAATGAAATTTCGGTAACAATTTCCATCTAAAGTACTGAAATACTAAAAATCTGATCCTGCAGCACATCGTCTATCTGGTCTAGAATATGTGATGAAAGTGAAGAGAAGAACTGAAGATGGTGCTGATGAGGAAGCCATCCCAAGTGTAGGTTCACCTGCTAATAACATTGGAGGCTTTGGAATGCTTCGATTAAGCATGTCCTCCAAATAAACATTCGGAATAATACTAACATTCAATAGAAAATTAAGCAAATAAGCATTAGATTCAAATTTAAGAGTAGCAAAACAATTCTCATGTGATTGCAACAAAAAGTATTCGGTGGGACAAGAAATCAATGACAAATGAAAGGCCGAAAATTCAAATGTGTTTTTTGGTATTTGTGATAAAATGTGTGGGATTCTATAAATATGTGTGCTATTTTTAATTAGTAAATATTCTTTTTGAGTGTGTGCTTTTGTAAATAAGTGTGTTAGTTACTTATTTTTAATTAGTATAGATTTTTTTAAAATATATTTCAATTTCTAGGGTAGTTATTGCATTTAAATCATAAAACCAAAAATTCCAGCAAGGAGAAGTTGAAGGCAGAAAATCCAGAAAAACAGCACCATCCAGACGCCCCTTGCACCATCTGGACGCCCAGACGCGACTATAAAAACTGTCAGTTCGTTGGATTCTACCTCCTTTTCTGCAACCCTAGCCCCTCAAAATACCTCTCCTTCCATAGATCTTCACTACCCATCACTTTAATTGGATTCTAGCTTGATTAAATGGCAAATCTAGCAACTTAGGCTTGATTTTACTCCTCAAAAGCTAAATCAAAACCCTCATTGCATCTTAAATCTTCAAAACAAATGGGACCAAAGAAAAAGTCCATTGCTTGGAAATCTCAAGCAAGCTTGCAAAGTGAGGCATCTCCACTATCTCAAGAAGCTTCGGGGCAACAAGATTTAAGTGGGCAAGTCCCATATCCACAGGTCCACTCTGAATTCGAATATGATGTTTTTGAAAATCTTGAGCAACAGTTATGGTATAAACGTTATTTTGATTCTAAAGTTATTATTAATGAACGGGTTATTATCTTCGAAGACTTCGAATACTTGGGTATTAAGATTTGGAAAAAAAGGGTTGTACTAGCTATATGAGAACTGTGGGTATTGGTTTTGAATGTATTGTGAGAGAGTTCTATAGCAATGTTGAGATTACTAGGTCTAGGAAGTTTAAAACGTATGTAAGGGGAGTTAGGTTTCAAGTAGGTGTGGGTACCATTGTTGATCAACTTAAGTTTATAAGGAGAGAAGGAGAAAATTGACTAATGACCTAAATTTTGTGTGGGGTAAGAGGGGAAAATATATCAAATAAGGGGATTTGACCGACAAATACCGAATTTTGAATTTGTTTACTGTTTCTAATCTCATGCCTCAATCCCAAAAAAATCAAGTTTATACTGAAAGGGCTAAGTTGCTCTTTTCCTTTGGTGTTGGTCATTCTATCGATTTGTCAAATTTGATAATGGAACAGATGACATTGGTAATTCAAACAAGAAACCCTCACTTCCGCTTGATATTTTGGTAACTAACATATGTAAAAGCAACGGAATTTTGATGGATCCTACCTGGCCGAAGAATTGACACATCTTGATGCTACATCCCTAAAGGAGAGCCATGGAGTGCAAGGAGGGCAACCGAAAGGCCAGCAAGCAAATCAAGGAGGAGGCAATGAGAAGGAAGCACAGGACTTTGAGCAGCAGGATGAGCAGGCACCACCGTCCGGACGCCCATCACCACCACAAGATTCACTGATAGAAGGCTGCAAAATAAGGAGGCTGACAGACAGAGACAGGTGTCCGAATGTCTGCCACCACCGTCCGGATGCCCACGTCGAAAGTTGGAATTTGTGTTCACACCTTAAGCTCTGGATTTTGAGTTTTTTTTTGCCGCCCGAATGTTTGGGAATCTCGTGGCTCCTTGCACTTCGGGTTTTGAGTTCCTTCCGTCTGGCGGATTTTGAGTTATTGAATATTGTTACCAGGAATTTGGCACAGCTAAAATGACAAACTGAAAAGTCATTGTCAAATTTGGTCGCATTGGGAGGAGTGGTCAGTCTACAAATGTAGTTTTACTAGTTATGTGCACAAAGTGGTTGCTCCTACATGTAAACCCACAATCTCAAGGTTGCACACCTCATTTTGTAATCACTGCACTAGGCAGTGACATACTCTAAATTTGTTAGAAATTTTTTCTTTAGGATGCTTGGTTTTTATTGGCTTCAGATCTTGTGAGGGAAGACTTAGAAGAGTTGTGCGAAAATTTTCCATTGGTGCAGTCATCTTTTCCATATATTTGACCTTTGGTACTGCATCTTCATAAATGTTATAAACTTATGAAGAATAGATATGGTTTTTTTTTATTGCTAACTACATTTAGGATCATGGTTCAAAGTCGCGGTATGGGTCATCGACTCGGAGGGTGCTGATACATATCGGTCACGGCATCGCGGAGCGGTATCGGCCGATACGCTCAAAACGCAAGATTGAAGCTCCAAAAAAATTTGAAAAAATTATAGAAAATTCTAAAAATATAGACATCATTATTCATACATCATATGTCCACAATACATCAAAAAACACATTAAACATAATTAAAATGAAACATAAAATCGGTACCGAAAATAATTATCATTATCAATGTTGGAGAGGAGTCGAACCAGTGACTAGCAACTTAGCCCTTAGCAACTCCACCCAATTGAACTACCACTTTTATGTTACTTTTAAGACAAATATAAATATATAAACACATAATGTAATTGTAACTAATATAATGTAAAACAACATGTTGGAGCCTTAGAGGAGTCGAACCAGTGACCTGCACCTAAGTACTTAGCAATTCCACCCAATTGAACTACCACTTTTATGTTACCTTTAAGACAAATTTAAATATATAAACACTCAGTTCAAAAAAAAAAAAAGACAGACAACTTTTAAAGAGTTTTTAATTCCTTTCCCTATCCACTTTACCTCGTCGGTTCAGAGCTCTTCAGACGATTTCACTTCTCACTTCTCATTTCTCAGTCACAACAACAGAAAGAGAAAGAAAGGTGCAGATGGAGAGACGACCACGATCCCTGACCGACAGAGATCGAAGAAGATCGTCTCAACAAAAACTCGAGCAAGATCGTCTCAACAAAGAATCGAACAATACAAGACCAAATGAAGAAGAACAACAATACAGATATGTCGAATGACTCGAATCCTTAGTATTCTTAGTTTTTATAGGGGTTTGCTGCTTCAAGATTCATGTGATTTCAGAAATTTTCACATGGGTTTACTGATAGTGGGTCTGCTGGTTTGCTTTATTTCCCATCTCTTTTTTTTTTTTTTTTTTGGATTTTTGTTCAAATTTTAGAAAAATGATTGAGAGTTTTAAGCTTTTACAGAGGTGTGGGTGACACGGGTGTTAGACTTTTTCGAAGATATGGGGGGATTTGCTCTTTTTCGCAGATATGGGTGGATTTTTTCACTATCGTGTTCGACTCTAAAAGATTCCGATAGGAGTCATCCGAGTTGAACCGATGTATCACCGACACTATTGATTTCGGTCGAGACGTCCGATATCTCGCCGATATATCGTCGATATTAGTAAAAATCGTCAATCTTGCAATTCGTGTATCGTTATCGTATCGGACTCGGCCGATACCTTGAACCATGTTTAGGATTTCAAGCTAGCATTCTAATGGAAAAGTTAACATAAAAACCAAACTACCGGAAAAGTAACACATGTTGTGCTGCTGACAATATGCCACTGCCTAGAAGCTCTATCCTCTAGTTGTTATGTTAGTTGGGTTTTTTTTAGTTTTCATCTGAAATGCTCTTGAAAGCTGCACAAACTATTTGTGTAATTTCTAAAACTCTATGGTTTGGTTGTTTTCGAAAATTACTCGACTCAACAAAGCCTTTATCCTAACTATTTGGGGTCTGATAGATGAATACTATTTCTCCATTGTACTCTATCAAGGACCATATTCTCCTTTAAACCACGGATTATCGTATCTTTTTTACTATCTCGTTCAAAGTTATTTTGGCCCACTACTTTTTTTATTTTTTATTTTTTTACTTTGGCCTACCTCTACCTCTCCCATTATAGTCAATATGTATAAAACAATTCTTTCTTAATGGTGCAGTACTAGGTCTTCTATAAACATGTCCAAACAACCTAAGTCGATTCTCTCTTAATTATCACTTATTGGTGATAATTCTACAATTTCACTAAGGGTTCGTTTGTTTAGCAAGAAAATGTTAGAAAATACAAGAGAAAATTTTAAAATTTTACATGCGTTTGTTTAGCATAAAATAGAAAATGATAGAAAATATAATTTTCTCTCATATTTAGATTTTTTCACATCTAACTAACTTTTTTTTCTTGCAAAAAATACAAGAAAAAACAAGAAAGTTGTATTCAATAACTTAACTTCCCGTTTTACCCTTATTTTTCTTAAAATATTCAATTAGTTATTAATTTTAAAAAAATGTGTACAAATTAGGCTAATCATATAATTTGGTCTAGAGATTAAGATTCGAGTTGATTTTTGTTCCTAAATTAGGTTAGGAGCCAATTTTTTTTAAATTTGAATAATAAAAAATATGTTTTTCTTCTTTAGACCAAATTAAAATACTTAAGGATAATTTAGACAATTAGAAAAATTTTCTTATAACTTTACTTTTCTTCAAACAATGGAATGAGAATGTTTTAAAATTTTCTTATAAGTTTTTCATGTTAACCAAATACATGCATGAAAATATATTTTCTTTCACTTTCTTTTCTTTCAGTTCACTTTCTACCTCTTTCACTTTCCATCATCTTTTTCTTGCTAACCAAACGGACCCTAATGTATTCACCCTAACTATCCTTTCTAGTTTACCACACATTTGTTAATATCCTTGTCTCTGCAACACTTAATTTTTGAGCGTGGTGTTTTTTATTGCCTAACATTCTATACCATAATGCATTGTTGGACTGAGTGGAGGAATGTATTTGATGTATTACGTGATCAACTCTATTTGAAACCTTTGCCATGCCGGCCATAGAATTTTTCTTCCATCGGTTATAGTAATAATAAATGAAGAACGTAAAGGTGAATGATCCCAAATAAACATTTTAAGCAATTCTCTCTTCACCCTCTCCACTCCCCTTTCAAATGTAGCATTGTTGTTCTTGGGCATTTATTCCATTTATTTTCTCCCTTGCAATTATCTAAGTCACTCAACTTGTATTGTGTTGCCTGAGGTTCATAGGATTTCAAGATTGCTGAAAGGATAGAAAGAGAAGGGAAAGGTTGCCTGATTGTTGTAAACAAGTGGGACACCATACCAAATAAAAACCAGGAAACTGCGACGTACTATGAGCAAGATGTCAGGGAGAAGCTTCGCATTCTGAATTGGGCTCCAATTGTATATTCCACAGCAATAGCAGGGCATAATGTTGAAAAGTATGTTTGTAACCGAATATCTTCATCTTCTATTTCTTACAGTTCTTTGCATTATTTACCAATTTATCATCATGTTTGAAATCACTGTCTGCTGCAGCATCACTGCTAACATGTGACTTTTTTTATATGGTCTTATGGGATTGTTGTAATATCTTCACTGACTTTGTATCTATTCAATTGCAATTTCAATAGCATACTTATGTCTGAAAATGAACTCAATAACACATACACCAGTGACTTTAATTGCAAAGCCTAACGTTTTTAGCATATTCTTTCAATGCTGCAGACTTTTTAACCTCCATCTAAGATTGTGTTGATTTATTTGGTCCAGAATCATTGTTGCTGCTAGTGTGGTTGAAAAAGAGAGATCAAGAAGGCTCACTACATCCATATTAAATCAAGTAATACAGGAGTCACTTGCTTTTAAGGCACCTCCAAGAACCAGAGGCGGGAAGAGAGGACGCGTTTATTATTGCACTCAGGTATACGCGCAACATTAGATATTCTTGTAAAGAGAGTTTGTATCCTACATCGAATAATTAGGGTCACCCACGGTTGGTTTATATGCTTAAGGGGCCTCTGCACTCATTGTCAATTGGTTGAGTCAGATGCTCTAACATGGTATCAGAGCTGGGCCTTGGGTGATCAATGAGTCAAGTCTCTTACCCACTAAAATTTCTCCAGTATACATAGTTATCTGTTTGTTTGTTAGCCCCATGTGCAAGCCTGAGTCCCACGTGGGGAGGGTGTAAAGAGAGTTTGTATCGCACATCAAATGAGTAGGACCACCCCAAATTGATTTATATGCTTGAGGGTTACTTACACTCATTGCTAATTGGTTTTGGTTTGGATGCTCTAACATGGTATCCAAGCTGAGCCTTGAGTGATCAATGAGCCATGTTTCTTATCCATTTGAATTTCTCGATATGTATGTTTATCTGTTTATTTGTTAGCCCCACGTGTAAGCCTTGGGTCCCACATGAGGGAGGGTGTAAATAGAGCTTGTATTGCATATTGAATAATTAGGGTCACCTACCATTGGTTAATATGCTTAAAGGGGTCTTTTTGCTCATTTTCAATTAGTTTTGAGTTGGATGGTCAAACAATTCTAATTCTTTGATTCTAAGAAGCTTTATGATGTATATCTTTGACAATAGATATTGATGTCCTGCAGTAATGAAGACATTCATGTTCAGTTTTGCTGTGGCCTGTGAATTGAAGGCATACATACTTATTGTGCAAGTTTATATCACCAAGTATTTGATGGGAATTGAACTAGGGGTTCTCCTAGCTTTTAAGTTCTTAAATTTTTTTCTAAAACAATTTTAAATGCATTTTTGAATTAGTGTGTCTTACAGCTTATGTGACATTGAAGCCAGATTACAACCTACATTTTCATGCTTGATGACAAGCTTTTACAATTGAGTTACATGTAATTTACTGCTTCAGTTTGGTATTTTGTTGTGTAAATAAACATGAAATTCATTTTCACATTCCATCGAAACTAACCATTAATTCTTTTCAATATGGACATGCAACTTGGTGGCCTATTTTTCAGTCTCCGGAAACTTACATTTAATGATTTATTCAATATTGAAAAATGCTGCCACTGTGTACCTGTCGCTAATTATCTTGCAGGCAGCTATTAGGCCACCCACGTTTGTTTTCTTTGTAAATGATGCGAAACTTTTCCCTGAGACATACCGGCGATTTATGGAAAAGCAACTGAGATCAGATGCAGGATTCTCTGGCACGCCAATTCGGCTTCTATGGCGCAGCAGAAGGAAAATGGAAAAAAATGATGGTAAGTGAAAAAGGAATTATTTTACCTTCTTCCATCTTGATGTTTGTTTTGGGGACACACCAGGTGACATGTCATTGCATGGAATCCATTTATTGAAAGGTAGCAATCACGTTACCACTTCTTTTGAGGCCAAGTAGTGGGCCTTCTGAATCTTTTAGCTGTATACATTTATTTTCCTGATTACATTTAAATGGGATAGTTTATTCTGTTTTGTTGATGTTCATGCATGAGAGCAAAGAAAATTAGTCATTTTCCATTATGAATGCCTTGAGCATATAGTTACAATTCTATGATCCATTTATTTTCAGGCGGGGTTAATGCGATGAAGGCACAATTGAATCTCACCCCAAGCGATAGACAGGTGGCTGCAGCTACATAAATTTGTTTTCTTTTCATCTAAAAATCAGCTAGGATTTTGGAGGTTCGTTTTGGAAAAATCTTCGCAGAAGTACTAAAACAAAACCATCATTGGGGAAGTTGTGACCGTCAATCTTGAAGAATAATCAAGCAAGGTGGTGCTGTTTGTTGTGGAATGTAATTTAATAGCTTCTTTCCTTTGGTCTTGCCTGGTACTAGTTTGAACCCTGGCAAGCAGCCAAATTTATGTCTTGTATTTTACGGTGACAATTATGTGTTCAGCACTGAGGCACATTATTCATTAGATTAAATAATACTTGGTTGGATGTATATTTATGTTCAAATAGTGATACCCATCATTTAGAGAATGAGCTTTGTCTCCTTATGTGCTACTCACTTAATAATTGGGTCATGAGAGACCTTTTAAGTATTGCCAAAAAAAAAAATCTGGTTATAGAGTTGGGCTAGAAGCAATACTTGTTTTCAGGTTAGAAAGAGACCAAGCTTATAAGCCCACGTGACAAACTCATTATTTAATAAGAATTTGTTACGATTGATATGTCAATGACTCAATATTAGGTCAAGGAAGAAAAGCTCCCCATGTCAAGTTTACAGGCCAACGGACAGTACCATCAAATCATTATTTGAAAATACATATCTAATTGCAACCAATCAAACAAAATAGAATATATCTTCTTTTTTTTTTAAAAAAAAGGAAAAAATTTCAACACATACAGGTTTCATGTCTCGTAACTCAGTTAATGATTAGATTCTTCTCATCAAGTAACATGTGATTGACTCGTCGCATGGATAAGGAACCAGCATGAACAGTATGTGTGTATGTAATATTGAACAATTGGAGATAATTCATCATCGATTTGCGTGTAGTGATGAAATGTGTTCATCCGCATTAACCTTTGCATTTTTTTGGTGATTATGCAACGCCACTTATTCACTTAACCGGCTACATCTCAAACAGGTATCATTTTTATTTACTTGTAACCATGACCACCATCTGTACTTTCTATTATCATTTTTATTTACTTATGTCTTGCAGAAATTATATTATCATTAGTTTTATATATAACTCAGTTATTTCGGTGGATCATATTGATATGTCGTTTCCTTCCCACAATAAACTAATGTGAAACCTAATGGAGAATCATCTCTCAACATAAAAAGATAAATTTAAGAGCGCCCCTAATTGGACATAAAATATTAAATTTCAAGAATATTCAGTGTATCGACATTTTACATCCCAAATGAATTGATAAGGTGCGACATGGCAGAATCTAAAGAAATGTGGGAGATGATCAGTCACAGTCATATTTAAAAATAAAAAACTAACAAACTATAAGTTAACAGTTAGTAACCATCAAAAAGAACAAAAATGTTAAAAACAATGACTATAAAAAGGATATAGTGGAGAAGAAGAAGATACACTTAACACCTTCCACCCCAAAAGACTCACAATCTGGGAATTATTAGGAGTAATTTTAGGAGACAGATAGTGTTGTAATCAAGATTGTTTATTCATTTTTTTTAACGGAATTTCTTTGATTGAATTAATAAATGAATTCTCTTTTATTAGTTCTTTGCACAATGTGATTGTTCATGATTTTTTCAACCAAGAAAGTACCGAATTATGGAGTTTTAAATTCTTTACAAATAGTCACTTAAAACCTATCTATCGATTGAAATATCTCTATTGATTCCAGGAGATTTTGGAGCAATAACTCCCAAGGAATAAAAACAGTCGTTGGATATTTGAATTTTGACTGTACGGTCTGTCACTCTTTGGACAACTAAATGCCTGTTTGCTTATTGGTGCTGTGTTAAGGGACAGCAGGGGTGTGTTTTTTGGCTGGGATGACAAGAAAGTATATGCGCAAGTAACCTCGCTTATTTAGCAAGTTCGAAGCCACTCTATTCCCATTCATTAGTTATTCACACTGTTCAAATTTGCATCCATGTGATCCCTTTGTACATCAGAACTTATGGCCACAACAGACTTCAGAAAATGAATGCAATCCCCTTCCAACACTACAGACACTGTCCCTTGGAGGCGAACAAAATTTACCGCTTCTTGCATAGCTATGGCCGTCCACGCTCCAAACCTCTTCCCTGCGCATATGCTTTCTTGCCATCCCAGCCAAAAAAACACCCCTGATGTCCCTTAACACAGCACCAATACCCACCGTCTGCCCTTCCAAAAACTCAAGATCACAAAAATTAACCTTAACTACCCCATCACTAGGAGGCTTCCACGATGCAAGAATTGAAGCAGCTGACCTTGGATGCCATTAGCGTGTTGGAATTGTTCCAAAAAAACTCTGGCTTCTTGGTCGATAATTGCCGGGTTCTTAGATAACCCCGAATGTATCATCTCATTCCTATGCTTCCAAATTAACCAACACTGAACAAAAAATAAAGCAAACTCAGCAGGCCCCAAAAAAGAGTGTATATCCCTTATCCATTGTTCCACAACTACGGCACACATCACACAAATTATTTTCCTTCACCATAAGTTCTCATTTGTAGGCAGAGCCTCCAAACAAAACCGCTAAATAAAAACCTTAATTTTATTTGGGATCCTTTGCTTCCATAAAAAATCCCAACTCGTTTCTCCAGCATTTGATGGCACTGCCTGGTCAGTTCGCTGAGCATTAGCCAAACTTTGCTGCATTGTGACATAGTAAACACTTTTGACAGTAAATATACCCCTCTGATTATAATTTCAGATCAGTGTATCTTCCGCTACGGGATGACCAGTGGTATGGCTTTGATAGCAGAGGCTTCATGAGGAAGAAAAAATTCTGGAATGTTTTGGCATTGGTACCCATCGATGTCCCCAAATCTTTGTCCTTTTCCCATTTCCTATTTTCCATCTGGACCCCGCCCGCAGCTATAACCTTACGAGCATGGCCAAACTTAACGGCCACCAAGAATGTCGACGAAGGAACATATCTTACTCTCATAACTTTATACAACACTCTGTTTTTCTATCTTTAAACATCAGGTGAGGTGATTGATGGTGAAGTGAGCAATTAGAAAACGAAAGCACATGTGTTTCTCTCTCTAACGTATTCCTTTCTCTTTCTCTTTCTCCACTCTATGCTACTTTCTTTATGCAATTGCCTCAAAAAGGAAAATCCTTTGGAAACACATGGGAAAAAGAAAACAAAGTGACACCAATTACTTTCTTTATTTTGGGCAAATTATACTTTCATTTTTGACTCTGACCTTGATCTACTTTTTTTATTAAACTATTTTTTTTACCATAAAGATTATTCACCCTTTAATAATAAGCGATCTATTTATATATAATAAATTTCACTTGAATCTACAATAGATGATTTATTCGGGAAAAAAAATGACAACAAAAAAATGTATTGGTTGGAATTTCAATCATGGACACTTGGGGATAGTCAATTTTTTTTGGGGTAGAGATACAGTTTTCACGATTAAGTATTTAGGCATGAGTGCTTAAAAATAAATATGGCCCATTAGCATAAACCATCCCATGGACCCGATTGCTTTCAGGTTCTAGGCTTAGGTGGTGTACGATAAATATGAAAGTTGAAAGTTAAATGCTGAATTTGTGGACTAATTGGTACCCATTGAAATTTAAGTATTAAATTAAACTAAATTGTTTGATAATTACACAAAATTGACGTCTAAAAATTAATTAATTTTCAATTTTATCCTTCTAATAATGAACAATTACTAATAAATAATTGAATAACAATAATAAATTGAATAACACAATAATTGAATAATAATATCTGATCCAAAAATAATAATAATAATAATAAATAATCAAATCAATCATCAAGGCAACAATAGTTGCAGTTACAAATTGAGAAACCTGATAATTAAAACAGTGACCATATCATATGTAATAGGATCGAAGAGGAAAGTTCTATCTTTTTAATAAGAATCATCCTAGTCATGCATATTTTAGATTAATGCATGCAACTGTAAATAACTTTGTCGAAAAATAAATTAAATCGATTAAATCCAAATTTTATAGGATGAGTGAGCCTCAAATTAGGGACGTGCCAATATCTGCATCATCACTTAATTGTTTGATCATCAAACTAATAGGTGTGAATTACTCCCTCCGTTTTTAAATATCCGTCGTTTTACACAATTTTTTTTGTTCCATAATATTTGTTATTTTATGAAACTAAAGCATAATTAATATTTTTTTTTCTAAATTTACGATTAACTTTTTAATGCATTAGATTAGGTGGAGGCTAAGTATTTTTCATATTTCCTTTCTTCCCAATACGTATTGAATAAAAATATTTTAGTCTTGTATAATTATTTTTAATTCATATTAAAATTATTTAATAATTTCTTTAATTCTTATATAAAAATCTTAGACGTCGTATATTTAAAAATTGAATGAGTAAATAATTGTTGTGGACCAACTCCTTATTTATGTGAATAATTCGGGAATCCTAAATCAAATCAATTGGCAATTATTACGACGAGAGAAAAGCTGAGGAAGTTAGTTGCAGACAGAAAGTTTGTACAACTTGTTTTCTACTATGATCAGGTTGTGTCAGTATGAAGCGTGCCCTCCTTTTTGGCCTGTGTTCATACATACATTCTTCCATAGATAAGGAGAGGAAATTATCGTTCAACGAGGGTGGAGCGAAGAATTTTATTTAAGGTGAATACTTTAATTATGTATTTAATTTTTTTTTTTTTAATCAATTACACTATATAATATATTAATATTTATTATATTATATTTGATATATAAAATTCATTTAACATAAAAATTTCCAAAAAAAAATTTAAATTATCAAGGGCGGAGCCATGAATATCTATGACAGAAACAAAATATAATTGGTATAAAAAATATTAAATCGAAATTAATACAAAAAAATTCAATTCAAGAATAAAAAAATAAGAATCAACACTAAATTATTGTGAAATAATAAATTTAATTTTTATTTAATCGAAACAAAATCTTAACAAAAAGACACAAAATAATTTTTTTAATACATTTTAACCTAATTATATATTTTAATAAAATATAAAAAATTTTAAAATCTCTAAAATTTTTTGTATATGAATTAAATGTAAATTAATTTTCGTATTTTATTTGGTTATAGACTACTATTACTAAAAAAAATGTTAAATGAAAACAAATAATCATTCTTAAAAAGTAACGAACATTATGTTAGATAAAGAGAAATATTGTATTTTCGTTAACATACAAATAAAATATTGACTCAATTCAAAACTAACATATTTATTTTAGAGGGTTAGTGGTCCACTAATTTATTAAAAAAAAAATTAAAACTATTATTAAAATTTTCAAAAATTTAGGGGGTAAATATAATATATAAAATAATTTTATAGGTTGGTGCAAGAAAGGACAAAAAAACTCAAGAAACTGAGCTTCTCGTGTGTTGAGCTTTTCTCTTTTTCTTCTCTTTTTCTTGTGGCTGGGTAGTGGGCAGTTGGAAGTGGGTGATACAGAGAGAAAAAAAATGAAAGATAAGATAAGTTTTAGTCAAGTGGGTCAAAAGTTTTGTTTTTTAATGATGGTGGACCAAAAGTTTTGTTTTTATGTTGGGCCAAAAATTTTGTTTTTAATATTAGGCTAAAAGTTTTATTTTTTAATAGGTTTGGGTGGATTGTGATAGATCAAATATTTGATTTTTTAATAAATTTGAATAGACAATAGTGAGTTCAATTTTTTTTGTTTTAAATGAACTTAATTGTTTAATTATTTTGAGGAAATAATGTGGGTCTAATTTAAATAAGGGGGGCACACATAATATATATGTATAAATATACATTACATATATCTAACTAATAAAAAAAAAAAATTAAGGGGGGACACGTGCCCACCCTGGCCCCTACCTCCCTCCGCCCATGCCAACAAGGTTGGTCGATGTGTACACTTTTCATACCTATACTTTCCTTTGGATTAAAATATACTAAATACACATAATTCGGATTTAATTTTATCAATTTCAAGAAGAAAAATCTTTGTGTAGTTATACAATTACTTCATTATAAATTGAGTGTCAAAAGTTCAGATCACGAACGTAATCTCTTTGTATATAGGAATAATAATGCATCCATCCTCTCTAAGTCCCATAGTAATGGAGTCTCATTTGCTAGACTATTTTGTTTTTTGTTTTTTTAAGTTTTGCCAATTATAACTTGGAGTGGATGTGTTTTTTAAAATACACAAAATGTATGGATTTTTGTGTCATTGTTGTGAAGACACCAAGATGCCTAAACTGATCTCTCCTTAATTAATTCGTGTGATGGATGTACAAATGTATGAATTGACAATTTTTTATTATATTTTTGTTGCTTCAAAAATTGTGGTTATCAACGGAGGGGACTTAATCGACATACAAGATTATAAATTTGAACACTTAAATAAATCATGTCATTTGTAGTATTCCTTCCCTTTTGTGTCTTTTTCTGGCGGGATACTATGTTCTTGAGACAAGATTATAAATATGTGGTTGATCATCTCATCAAAGAGAACATCAATCATCGATAAGTTAAATAAATACTGCATAAAGGCTATTGAAATAGCATATCGACAGAGTCATCAATTTTTTTTAGGGTATCACATATGTTTGGTAGACTTCCTATGATTTGTGCCACATTTATCTCAACTTCACCATCGAAGTTTTGAAAATAAGTTACTAATGAACTGTTTTTCCTCTGTTACTCTTCTCTAAGCAACACTTCGTATTTAGTAGCTTTGGCTGGGAGTTGAAAGACTTCTCTGAACTCCATTTTTTTCGAATTTGTTTCCTAATTCAAAATTTAAACCATTTTAGGCCAACTTTACTAACTCCACTTCAGGTAAGTAAACATGGTATTTGTTTCTAACCTTCTTGAACATGTCGATGTACTATTTGTAGATTCATTCGATCTGTATCTTAGTCTTGATAAATCTGTCATCGAAACTTTAGATTTTTTTCTAAAGAACTGAGCATGAAATTGCTCTCCATCTCTTGTCATTTTTGAATTGAATTAGCAGACAAATTTATAAACTAAGCAAAGGATGTTCTTGTTAGTGATTGTGGGAATAACTTCATTTGTAAATTTTCATGTTTCCAACTTCCCCACATTAATTGGAAAGTGAAATTTTCTATTCTATCGTAGATTGATTCTCTTCACCAGAGATGAAATTTTGGGATCTTATATCCTCTTAAGAATTTCTCATAGTCAATTCATGGTGGGTAAGGTTTTCTGAACGCATGCCTCTCTATTTTTCTAAGGCCAGTACCATGAAGGTCTTGAATAATTTTTACTAGTCGGTTTCTATTGAAAGTCATATTATGGTAGTCCTCAATATGTTCAACTTGATCAAAGAGTTGCCCTCCTATTCTTAGATTGAATTCTTCTATGAGTTCCATTGGAGATATGACATGCCTCTCACAACCTCTTCTATGAAACTCAAGGATCATCCTTAACCCATTCAAATTTGGATACTTTAACAGGCTCCCCCTCGAACACCATGTTAAAGTGGTTTTGGTGTGATAAGCCTAGCCTTTCATTAGTGATTGTTGGTGGTGGTCATTAGTTTTCTACAAGGAATACCATAGAACCGATATTTCCTTCATCCACCACTTTGTTTCTAATTGTAGTGTTTCATTTCTAATTAATTGATCCTGACATTAGTGTTTGAACATTCATTAACTTATGCATGACATTAACTAATTATTGCATAATGCAAGAATTGGAATTGTGCAATACCAGTTTTAAATTCTGCACAAACTCTTGCATTTACAAACTATCTTGGCCATTGGATTGGTCATTCCCTAGATTTGCAAACTTCATTGGATGTTGCCATTTGTTGGTTTTATTTCTACAATTTCGTTAGTCCTAAACACAGTCTCATCTTGTTTCATTGTTCTTATTATTTTTCTTGATCCAAGTTAAAAATGTGGTCCCATCAGACATGCTAAAAGATTTGTTGTTC